AATTTACTGAAAATTTGTTTTCTTTCTTTTTTTTTTTTATTCAACATGTTTGTTGATTAAAGAACGAATAATATGTGTGTGTGTGTGTAGTATTAGATAATTCGTAAATTTACAGAAAATAAGCAGAATAACTAAAAAAATATCTATTTTTTTTTTTAAACTTACCCTCAAATTTGCATGAGTGCACGTTTTCTAAACGATGTACTCTTCTATTTTTTCTTCTTTTTTAAATCTTCGACTTGATCTGAAACATTAATGAACTAAGATCGACGATCGAGGGAATTTATTGGACGAATTTTTTACAGGCCACTGATCACGCCAGAATTTTAATTAATCCGCTTCACGATGCTAAGTAATTTCCTTAATCCGCCACTGATTACTCGACCTATAAAAACCGATTCTACTAGGACATAGGAATTTCTTTCCTTCCTACCTCTTTTCCTTTATAATATTTTATACGTTTGTTATATTTTTATATTTATATTATATATTGTTATATTATATTTTATATTTATATAATTATATAATTTATATAATAATAATAATTATTATCTAATATAATAATAATAATAATAATTTATATAATTTTATTATTTATATTTTATATTGTTATATTTTTATATGTTTCTCAGGAGAGCCCCTGTTGGTTGGCATGGATCTTACCATCGCGAGTTTCGATGCAATCTCGGAAGTAAACATGGTGAGTACGAGTATGGTATACCTACACGATCAAACTGAAAAATAAAATTTTTCAAAATTTTTGACAAATTAATGTAACCTCGATACAAGATTATTTCATTTTGCTTATTGTTAGCGAATGATCTTTTCCTCGCATTACATGATTATTTCAAATTGAATAATTGCTTTCGAGTATCTTTCCAAATCAGTGCAGGTTCTTTGGAATTCCGCAATCTAAAATTTTATGCATTTTCATATTTTTATGAATATAATTAAAGAAATGAAACCTGAATAGAAATTTGTTTTCTTGTACTGTATATCATTATAAATCATTCTGCTTTGAATATTCCTTACGCTCATTGTGCGTATTTTCAGTTTCCCATAAATCATACAAACTCATGGCAAACTTTTTATCAAGTTTCTCAATTTTTCATGTAACAACGCCATTCTAACCAGCAGGAAATTTCACAATTATAACATTGAGTTACGCTCAATTTAGTGGCACGAATTATAAGAAAATTCGATTTGAAAGAAAAAGTCCTGTGAAACATGAATTTGATATTTCTTAATTCTTAAATCTTCAGACTGAAGATTAATAAATATAAATTATATACAATATGCTCAATGCTTTGCGTTATTATAATAACAAAAAGATTGATAAGAGTTTAAGGGGAGGAATTATAGCTTTTGATTAAATATAGTTCTTCTACAATCTGATAGATACATTTACAATAATCGTGTATTGTGATACAACGAATATTATTAAAATAATATTAATGTTTACAGGATTATACCATAACAATGTATCTGAATCAGTATTGGAAGGACGAAAGACTGGCGTTTTCTCAAGAAGAGGAGGTTCTCACACTCAGTGGAGATTTCGCGGAAAAGATTTGGGTCCCCGACACGTTTTTCGCCAACGACAAGAACAGGTACAATTTTTCGAAACTTGTATTTTTCCGCGGGAGAAGAGAATTCTTACTGAACTAAAAGCCAGAAGGAAATTTACGTTAAATAATCAAAAATTCTAATAGCTTTCCAAATAATTTTACAATTAAATCATTTTGTAATAATTGTAATATGATACAATTGCGATGATATATAATATCAATTACAATATATAATAATATTTATAATTGTAATTTATAAATTCATATATTAAAATAATTACTTATATATTAATTATCCTTTTTTATATGCTTTAAAAGTAATAATTTATCAAATTTAATTCGATTTTTATGTAACCATGTAACATAAATATATATTATATATAATCTTATAATATTTTCTTATAATATTATATATAATCTTATAATATAGGACATATAATCATTTTGTAAAATAAATATATATCATAATATAGGATCTCATAATATAGGAATCATAACGTATGTAAGGTGATACATTAATATATATATATATATATATATCTTCTCTATATTTCTATTTATAAAAAAAAATTCATTCACAAGAGATTCTCCCTTGAAGCTAAAGAAATTTAGTCTTCCTTTATTATTTCTTTATTAAACAAAGGAATTAGATGACCAGACGACCTGTTTCAAATGTCCCTCATTTGTCCCTTCTAATATCTCTTCTCTAACTGGAAAATGTACGAGATTCTGTTAAAGAAAGAAAATGTTGGTTTTCGGTTTGTTCGCAGTTTCTTACACGACGTGACCGAGCGCAATAAACTCGTTCGGCTGTCCGGAGACGGATCCGTCACTTATGGCATGAGATTCACGACGACACTGGCCTGCATGATGGATCTGCACTACTATCCGCTCGATTCGCAGAACTGCACCGTAGAGATCGAAAGCTGTACGATCGATGTTACCTGTTATCGTAGTTTCTTTTCTTTCTTTCGCTTTCCTCTTCTGCCGAATACAGTAGATATAAAATGTTCCATCGGGAAATAGAACTATCATTTTTATCGGTATTGACGCTAGAACTACCAAAGTGTCAGTCAAAATTTGTAACGAATTTATAATTTCTGATAGAAATTTTGTAGACGTAAAACAGTGTATTTTTAGAGATTTTTTTTAATGATTTTTTTTCGTAAATACACATAAATGAAAGCTTGTTTGTATTCTGAAGATCGTCAATTGCTCTAGAGCTTCGTTTTATACTATCGAGAATTGAGAAAATTTTCGATTTGTTTCTTTAAGGAATCAATTCTTTGATTGCTGGAAATTTATACATTTGCTATATTGTTTATTATTTATATTGCTTCTTTATATATCATTACATTATCTTCCTTGTTAAAAATACGAGCAAATGTTTCAAACAAAAGTTGCATGGTTTGCAAGGGAACGTGTAATACTTTCGTAATCGTTTTGTTTTCCTTTATCGAGACGAGACTTTTTATTTTATAGTTTTTTTTAAGTGGAATGGTATTTTTTTTTTTATCCACTAATTGGTGTAGCTCGATATTGTCTATAAAAAGTGATTAATATATGTAGTTGTAATAAGCAGTTAGCTCATAACGCATTGAATTCTGAGAAAGAGATAATATAACTTGCATTCTTTATCTTCATTCGAATTAACAAATTCAACTTTTTATTTTACAAATTGGAACTATACTTCGCTTGACAAAAAGAATATATACATTCGATCCCGAAATCGAGTGAAAAGATAATTTTAATATGCAACGTATTGAATTTTGTGGAAGAAAATAATGTAACTTGGTTCCTTTGTTTCCATTCGAATATTTAATCGAATGAAAGAATAATTTTGATATGCAATTAATTCATAATTAAACTACGGATTTTTATACATTGGTGGGAAATTTCAGGACGCAAAACTGCAGGAAATGCGTACTAATATATCGAAAGTGGAGTTGCAACATTTGATATACTGAAAATGAATATTTTGTATCAGCTATATTTCTCTGATTATGTTCAGAAAAAATTCGACACTGCGTAAAAGTCCGTAGTTCATTTATATTAGGTTGTTATAATAAATTCGTTCGCCTTAAGGATGTTAAACAAAGATATATATAACAAAAAGTCCAATGGACAATAGATAATTCATCCACATTGAATAAACGTATGACATGGATAAATGTAAATAATTGCTTAAACAATTAGAAAGAAAAACGAATATCTAATTGGAACGAAATTGAAAATATAATGTAGTTTACAATATTTAAAAAAAAAAAAATATTGGACTTACAATTTGATGAACGATTTAAGTTTTGATTGAAATATTTATACATTGGAATGTTAATCATTTCAACACAAAAAGGAAATCGTCATTTACAGTTAACAATCATATAATTCAATTTTTTTGATGAAGAGACCAGATTTTCAAAATTACTTAATTCATTTGCAATCAACTATGCGTGTTAGTTTCATCATTGACGGTGCGAACGAACTTATTGCACAATCTAATGTAATATACTCGTGTCTTTTATTTTTGTTCTAGTATTTGATCATTGGGTTATCTTATAAATTGAAAGTATCTTTTGATAGACGGATACACAGTGTTGGACGTGGTAATGTATTGGAAAGAAACCCCGGTTCGTGGTGTGGAAGAAGCGGAACTACCACAATTCACGATAATCGGTTACGAAACGAACGATCGTAAAGAGAAGCTGGCCACTGGTATATACCAAAGATTATCGTTAAGCTTCAAACTTCAAAGAAACATCGGATACTTCGTTTTCCAGACTTATTTGCCTAGCATATTGATCGTGATGCTGAGCTGGGTCAGTTTTTGGATAAATCACGAGGCGACCAGTGCTAGAGTAGCTCTCGGTAAACATATTGAAATTGTTTTCTTTTACTTATCAATCATTATACAAGGTGTTCATATCTTCATCTATCAGCAGAGCGTTCTTTTCTCATACACGAGTATAAGAATTTCTCATAGTGTAAGTATAATGCAAAATTGAAAGAGGAAAAGTGGCATTATTTTTTATAAACAACATTGGTAAGGAATTATAGATTTGATGCAATTTTTGTTCATTCGAAGAAGTATGTTTTTTTTTTGTCAATATCAATGTTGTCCCTTCCAAAGTAAACTGTCAGACATTTACTTTCACTTTTCTTCTTCAATGCAAAGAGCATCATCTTCCCTCGCTGCAGATAATGATAATTATAACTGTAAATCAAGATAGTAATATTAAGTGAGACTATATACAACAAATGCACTATCGTGCACAAATAATTGAACATTCAGTGCAATTTCATCAGAAGATTGA